GCGGCGCGGCACGGCACGGCACGGCGGCCGCAGGTGAGCGGGCAGGGCAGGGCGGCGGTGGGCCACCACACGAGGATTTAGATGCGCCTCTCGCGTGACGCCGGTAGCCGCCAAGCACCGGGGGCAGGGCAGGCGGGCAAGCAGGCTGACGAAAACAAGTTGGAAAGCCGTTCGGAAAGCGGCGCGTCGGCCCGCCGGCGACAGTGACAGACAGTGCGGCCGGCGCCAGGGCCACGGCGCCCCACGCAACCCGCTCGTCTGCAGCAGGGCCGCGCACGCCGCTCGACGGCCTGCCTGCCAGCGGCGCAGCGGCGCCGACGGGCCGACAGTGGCGCCCTCCGCCGCGCGCGAAATTCAATTCGCCACTAATTTGCGACTAGCAGCAAGGCAGTGGTGCGGCGCGCCGCCGACGAGGAGATCATCAATCTCGAGGGCAGCCCAGCCCGACAAGGGCGCTGCGAGGAGGAAGTCGCGGCGCCTGGCCTGGGCGTTCCGCCACACGACCTGGCCGAACCGCGGCGAGGGTCACGCCGAGCTGCACCACGTCGACGCGCGCTGGGAGCAGCACGGACACCACACCAAACAGGCGCACAGACGGCCTTCCCTGGCCGACACAGCCTAGTCTATCCCTTTTGTAGTGCTCGGAACATTGAATTACGTAGTTGGACCGTCCAGGTAAATAATCGACCCGCCATCTGTTTCTCTCCTTTTTTTCCCTCCCGGTGTCATCGGCACCTCGCGCGCCCGATGAGACGCGATGCCCCGGCCGGCCCGTCCGGGGCGGAGAGCGCGACGCGCGAGGCCCGGCAGACAGCCAATAAAGCGGCATGAAGCGGAGTGGGCACGGACGGCGACGGATCCCCGATCAACAATGGGCCGCCTTTCAAGCCGGACGGAGCCGGACCGGACTATCTCCGCCCCACCGGCCGCCCCGCCTTTCTCTCCCGGTGCCAATATTCGTCTGCCAGACTCTGGCCTCTCGGGCACCGACAGGAGGGTCGACCCCCCCCCCCCCCCGCCGAAGCCTCGTTGCAATCGGAGCCCCGGAAGCCCTCCGCCACAAAGCTGGCCCCACGCGAGCTGCGCTGCATGGCGGCGCCATGGCGCTGCCGCGCTGCTGCCCGCCGAGCCCGCGGCCCCCGCGGCCCGCGCTCCGGATGCGAGGATCCGGTGAGGCACATCCCGTCCGCGTGCATTATGCAAGATGGAGAGGAAGAAAAAGCTCCTTCCGGTACAAACAAGCGACGCCTGCGGCCGCGCGGCCCCGCGGCCGGTGCAAACGAACGCATCGCGCCGCCAAACAAAACAAAGTGAAGACCCGACTGGGAAGGGATGGCGGGAACGGGACAGCGCGACAGCGAGGTGGAGACAAAACCTGATAGACATGCGACGCACGGCGGGGCGGCGGGGGCCTCCCGCCCGTCAAAACGTTGGCGGCGCGCTGCGCGACGGTCCGAGAAGAGGGGCTGGAGAGCGAGGGTCCGGACAAGAGTCCTCGACTCGAGTGGCCCACTCTAGCCCCACCCCACCCCCCGCCGCCGGTTCACAGGGGATGCGACTCCGGGGACACGGCTGCGCCGACGAGCCGAGCTGGCTGTCTGACGGTCCGCCTGAGCCCCGGCTGTCGGCTCCGTGCCTCCCACGCGACGCGGCTGGCGGGGTGGCTGGCGCGGCGAGGGAGCTGATGACGAGCCCGCCGGAAGTTGTTGCGGGCCTCCGCGGTCTCTCCGCGGCCTCCGTGGCCACGAGAGCATACACAGTCCTCGATTAGCGGCGGTGGCTCGGCAGGCCTCGGCAGCCCTCACATCTTCAAAGCAACTCGATGAGGACGCCCTCCTCCGCCCTTCCTCCGGAGCCCTGCGGAGCCCTTTGGAACGTCAAGGGCCCCCAGCACAGCCCGCCTGCCTCGGGCCTGTGGGACTCGGCGGCGTGTTTGCCCCGCCAGCCCCCCAGCCCCACGGTGTGGTGGGCACGTGGTGGGCACCAAGGAACCGCGGCCCACGCACGGTTGGTGTATATGTCTGAGTTTGTGTATCTTTGTTACATTTATTACCTTGGAAACAAACCTTTTTCGTCCGCCTTGTTTTAACATCCCGGAAAAATTCGAACCCTTCGCAGGGACCACGCACGGTCCACGCACGCTGCAGGCCGACTGACACACGGTAAAACACGGTTCCTGGTTTTCCGAAGATCAAGTCTTTGGTAAAGACATAGGCGATTTTCAGGGAGTTCTGGGAAAGCCAGGAACCGTTTTTACCGTGCACACAGGCTATGCACTGCGGCCCTGGACCTGGAGGAGGCCGCGGGTAGCCCTGCGCCCTACCTACCGGGGTGGCCGGCATTCCACGGCCAATTATGTCCCTAATCATACGGACGGGCGGGGAAAATTAATCAGGGCCGCCACCTTGAGCAAGCCAGCCCGGCAGCGATAAGAACTTTCTGCAATATTCAGACGGACGGTATTTAAGAAACCAGAGCGGGGCGCTGGCGGTGGGGCGGCGGGGCGGCACGGCTTCATGGAGTTAGCCCGGCTAATGTTTTCCCTCCTTTCCACGCCGGCTTGGCGCTACTTTGTCAAATGCGCTATCACGATGCCGGGCCGCCGGGCCGCCGCGCCGCCACGCCCCGCAGCCTGATGATCCCGCTCCAAACTTTGATCGTTACCTTGTCCGACCCGGTGACGGCGAGGAGGCCGACGCGGAGGGAGCCGGCGAGAGGAGGGGGCGTGAGCCCACTGGCCAAGCCCCTGGCCGCAGCAACGGCCAAAAACACAAAGGGCGTTCGCAGCGCTCGCAGCGCCCCGCACACGCCGCGGATAAAACTTTAATGCGTGCAGCGTAATAAGCACCGGCCAGTTAGTGGGCCGCAGTTACAGCGCCGCGGCGGGGTCGGGCGGGGCCGGGGCCGCGCCGGACGGCGGCCAGCGTGTCCAGCTGGCCGCCACTCCCGCGGCACGTCACCCAGCCCGCGAAGCACGAGGAGCCACAACACAGCGGCCCTAAAAGGACGTTCCAGGCACTCGGCCGAAGCGACCGGTCGATCTTTACGAGCGGCAGCGCGATGGCCGCTCCTAAGCCTTTTCGGACATTTCCCAGAGCCGCGTCCAAAGCGCCGCGTCCAAAGCGCCGCGTCCAAAGCGTCGCGTCCGCCGTGTCCAAGCGCCGCGTCCAAAGCGCCGCGTCCAAGCGCCGCCAAGCCCTCCGCGTGGCCGAGCCCTCCCCGTCGCCAAGCCCTCCGCGCCGCCAAGCGCGACGCACGACTCCTCTTGCAGACGCGCGCAAAACCGCTGGGGAAATAGTGAAGGAAATACCAGCCGCCTCCGCCGCGTCACCGTCACACCACTCTGGCGTCCCTTCTGGAGCACAGCGGGGTCTCAAAGCCACACGACACACGCACGCACACACGCGTACGCGCGTACACGCACACAAAACGCGGCCTCTCCACACACACACGGACACGCGCGAACAAACACGCGGGGAAAGGCATTCAACAAGCGCCAGTGTGTGCGAACGCGACGGCTGGCTCCGCTGCCGCCACCGCAGCGCTCTGTCGTCTCGATAGACGGCGCTGCAGCCCCGCCGCCACAGCCCGCCAACCTCGCAGCGAACAACGCCAGCCGCGCAGCCAGAGGCGCCAACGCGAAGCGCCAACGCGAAGCGCGGCCCGAACGGACGCCCGGTGCACCTGCGCCCCAGAGGGCTGCGCTCGCGTCGTCGGGGCGCAGCAAAGCACTGCAAAGCCGCAGAGCCACGCACGTCGCGGCCCTTTCTGCTCACGCATCATTTAGGCCAAGTCTGTGGGACGTGCAGTCTTTTTTTAAGTCCTTTCCAGGCAAAAACATGCACCTAGTCGGCCCATTCCGGTTTGTATACCAGCGTCTCTGATCTTCTTCACAGGGAGAAACGCCGAACCCGCCGAACTGCATGTCCTCTGAGCGTATGTTCGGATATTATGTGTAAGCAATTACTACTACCCCCCCCCCCCCCCCGGACCAGATTTTCATTATCAATAAGTTTGGTTTCTGGCGACTCTTGAGTAAAGGCAACCTCACACCTTCCTGTGTCTACGTGTGTTTAAAGAGTATAATGGTGTAAAGGTGTCATCTGCTAAAAAAATGTGAAAAATGTGAGGCGAGTAGGAAGTGTACAGTGTACCGTGGGTGATAGAGCATCGTGGCACCGTCGACGAGACACTCTGCCCGCAGTTTGACACTGCAGGATAAAGCACTTGATTGGCAGCGCTCGAACACTGCCGCTAGGAGAGATTAAGTGAGACGGTGCTCCGCGCTGCCGCGGACTGCCGCGGGGCGCGCCCGTTCCGCCCGATGGCCAAGCAGCGTGTCGACACGAAGCCACCCAACGGCCGCCTCGTCAGCCCGTGGGCCGTAGGCCGCCAGACAACTCACTGTGGCGGGGTCAATAACGGAGGGGACAGAGGGACTCGAAACGCCATTTCGCGTCACGTCAAGAGCGGACTGCGATTTCAGCCGGGGACGAAAGAAAGCATCTTTGGCTGTCGGGGCCAGGACGATGGACGGAAGCGCAGTGCGACTCCACGTCGACCGGTACGACTCCTCAAACGGCGGCCTCGCGACCCGGAGGCCCGGAGGCCCGGAGGCAGCGCAAGGCAAAGAGGGCGTCTCTCCGGTAAAAGGGGGTAATCTCCGGACGGGGCGACCGCGGTTCGGCCGTCCTCGTGCGACTTTAATGGGGCGTCAGTCCAACCGACCAGCTCGACAGGGACAAACCCCATGTAACGTTTTATTCGGGAAGGGACGGCGACGTGAGTGGCAGTCGGAACGACACGCTGCATCGGACGGCTCGGAACAGGAGCGACACGCCACCACAAAAGCAGAGCAGCCAGTTGTTGAAAACATCTCTGTTTAATAAACATCAAACTGGAGCCGTTCTGTCCAACTGGCCGTTCGACTGCTGAGCGGCGCCCCGGCGTCAAGACCCGCGGGGTCGCGGCGACGGCCTTATCCTAGTTCGACGACTTACCATTCGCAAGGACCCCTGCGGCCAGAATCACTAGAAGGATCACTGGGCGGGGCCACATGTTGGGGCGCGGCGGCGCAGTCCGGATCCCCAGCCAACACCTGGTCAAAAATATAAAGGGTCAGGTCTACATCACCAGACAGCAGAGAGGCGGCGACACGTCCTGCAGCACCCACGCCCGCCCGGCCGACAGGCAGGCAGGCAGGCAGGCAGGCAGGCAGCGACTGGATGGCACGCGAGACGTCGCAAACTCCAAATTACAGCGTGGCGGCTGGCTTCACGTCGTGGCACTCATCATCACTGCACTACGCCACTTTCCACTTGGCACTTCTATTCCCTTTCGCACTTGTATTTCACACACTCCCCGCACTTTCCCCACAATTTCACACTTTCTTCACATCACAACACTAGCTTGGTCTCCCCGCGGCGGGGCTCGCTGCGCCCCCGTGGGGGCTGGGGCGCTGGGCGCCGAGGCCATCCTCGACTTCACATCACTGCGACGCCCTCGGTGGCGGGGCCGCGGGGCCGAGCGCGCGGCGCGGTGGGGTTCGCGGTGCGCCGAGTGGCGCGCGTCGACGGCCCAGGACGACGCCGGGCGCGAGGCGGCGCGAGGCTGCGCGAGGCTGCGCGTGGCGGCGCGGGGCGCGTGGAGGACAGGGCGGGCCGAGGCGAGGCGAGGCACTGCACGCCACTGACGGGGAGCAGCGAGCGCAGGCCGCCAGCAGCCCCCACCAGCGCGGCCACCTGTTGGCGCGGCGGCGCGGCGACGCGGAGCGCGGAGCGTGCATGAGCACGGCGCCAGTTTGTCGTTTCGGGGCGTCCCGTCACGCGGTGCACCGCGGCAGGCCGTTACCCTCTTACATCCGGATGAGCCTCGGGTGCAAGAAAGACACACATATGCCACACTCTGGGAGAGGTATCCGCGCAGCCCACCGCGGGATTCGTCACGGGATGATAAAATTCGGCTCAACCTACCCCACACTGCCAATACCACTGAATGCACGTGTACACTCTAAATGTCCTGCGGTGAAAGACTGCACCACCATATTACGGATAAAATTCACAATGCACACGAAATTCATCCAAAAATCCATAGGGGACAGTGAAATTTGAATGGTACCTAGCAGCTGCACCACAATAGAGAATATCCACCATAATATAGAGAATCTTCAATTTACAGCTTTGAGGGTGTACGGCATTTGCATTCAGCGTCTACACCGTGTTGCCCCCTTTCTCGGTCGGACGGTGTCGGACGGTGTCGGACACGACGCGGAGGTGCTGCAGCAACACGGCCTGTTCCGTGTCACCCTCGGTCACCTCCCCTGACGGCCTCTCGCTGACGCGATGCAAGGGAACACCGCGGCCTCGGACTGGAGGGAAATAATTAATCCGGCGACAGAGAGACTCCGCGGGGAGGGGAAGGGGGGGGGGAGGCCGTAGGAAAGCCGCGAGTGAGCGCGGCTGCGCGGCTCGGCTCCATTCCAGTACATAAAGAGAGGTGGGAAAAAATGAAGAGGATTTTTCTTTCCGGAGGGCAAAAAAAGGAGAGGGTCTCGTGTCATCCTTTTGCAATAAAACTGGTCGCCGACACACACACACACACACACACACGCGCGCGCCTCGCTGCGCCGCAATGTTCCAGGCAAGTCTCGCGCGGCACGGCGCGGCTCGGGGCGCCGCGGGGCGCCACCCCTCCCTCCCCATCACCGCCACTCTGATGCCTCTCTGACTCCAAATCCGCCTAGCACGGATAAAGAGGGCCGGGCCGGACAGGTCTACAGAAAGGGACGCCCCCGGCGACGCGAGCGTGGCCGAGCGTGGCTGTGAGCGTTGGCGTGGCCAGCGAGACGCGAACAGAGAGGACAGGCCAGGACCAGGGGCGGTGATGGGCGGGTAGTGAGAAGTCAAAGCAAACGCTGGCAAGGGTAGCAAGGCGACGACGGAGCGACGCCAAAGTTCAGCGGCAAACGCCATCCCGCCAAATCTCGGCGGATTGTTCCCAGGCTGGGCCCAGAGGCCCGCAGCGAACGCTCAACTCGCCTTCGGGTCACCCGGGTCAACCTTCGGGTTCTGGTTGGCGACTTGACTCGCGACGTGACTGCCCCGGTGGCCATTTTTGGCGACCTGAGCGCGCCCTAGCGGTGACTTGGCGTACTCGGAAACGGGCAACCCTGTATGGTTGGACGGACCCGCCGCGCCACGAGTCGGACTCGGCATGTCGGCCTGCAAGGCTCGCACTAAATATTGAAGCGACAGCGCCGCGAGGCCGGGCGCCGTGATTTGTCGAGCGAGCTTTCACAGCCACATACGGAAACATTTCACGCGAGGGCTGCCGAAGCCTGGCGAAGCCTGGCAGTCCGCCAGGTGGCTGCCGGGCTATTTATTGCCACTAGTCCTTCTGCAGCAGCGCTGCTGGCTGGCACGCTGGCACCGCGAGGCGAGGCCAGGCGCATAGCTCAAGGGCCGCACAATATGCGCGCCGAAGGAGGGCGGCTTCGGAGTTCGGGCATCGCTCGGGTTCAAGGGACTGCGGCGACCGCCGGCCCGCAGGTGCCTCAGGTCACATGTGGTTGCATTTCCCGCGCTAAAATTACTGTCACTTTTACGTTTAAAACCCCACTGAGCGCGTCATGTGCGGGACCGCATTTTGGGCAATCACCCAACATCGGCATGGACTATTTTACACATCGCCCAGACTGGGGCAGGGGACGTTACACCAGCCGACGAGGAGGGACGTATCTGTGAACCGAATCAGCCGAGTTTGGGCGAGGACGCTGGCCCGACGCAACATCGGGCGACAAAGCCTTGCTCGGCCCAAGCTCCAGCCTGCTTATGACTCCTTCCTTCCCAGTGTGCTCGGCCCGGCCCGGCTCGGCACGCACCGCCTTGCCGGCCTTGCCCCGATTTCCGCTTTGCATTCGCGATGGAGATGAGACAGGTGGGCGCGTCCCAGGCAGCGCGCGGCCCGGCTCGGCACGGCCAGGCGAAAAGGCCCGGCACGGCACGGCCCGGCGGAAGGGATAGAGAGAAGTCGCAGCCCTCCATTCCGAATTCCGGAGCCAAGAGGCATTAAGCCTGCGATCAGCATTAACTTGGCAAGCGCGCACACACGTCCTTCGAAACAGAAACAGAGCCGGCGAGGCGAGGCGAGGGGGAGGGAAAAGGGCAACACACGGCGAGGCGGCACTCGGATGGCGCGGCACTGGAAGGGATCAGCCTGCTCGTCCGTCAGCGGCCTCGCTGCGCAATGACCGCGCATTACGGATAACAAAACAGCGATGGCCAGTGGAAAGTGGCGTAGTACACCAGCCTCACTCTAGCGCACATGACATGAAGGCGCGGGCTGTAAAAAGGAAGCACCGCCCCCCATAAACGCCGACAAAACGTCATCAGCCTCATCGACACGGAAACAACAGTGCCTACGGCCGCTTCCACAACTAGCGAGGCCCAGCGAGGCCCCGCCATCCAGGCGATGCAATCTTAATCAACATAACACGTTTTCACCACTACCCTCGGGCGCGGTGACAGCGCCGAATTTACGCCTCACCTGCAACACACAGAGCAAACGATACAATTAGACCACGAGAAAAAGCGGCAAATTGCACTGATCAGCGGTCGGCCTACAGAGGCGCCGCAACAAGCTCCACGCCCAAGTGCGCGCACACTGCCAAAATTGCGGTTGTTACTGGGAGACAATTTCAAAGCTGATTTCCCTTGCAAGGGTGTCATCTAAACAGTTGTCGCACCCGGGCGCGTGGCCAATGCAATAAGTATGAGAGCTTTGATGAACTTTGATGACATTTTGATTTTGTCATAAAGTGGCGACAGATTTTTTACAGTGCAGAGGGCGACCCGCCGCCAACCTGATGGTAGCGCGGGAGTAAGCGGTCGACGCGGAACCGTTTCCAAGACAGACCACGGGGCCGCGCCGCCCCGCCCCCGGACTCGGCGTGGCGGCGCGGCAAAACTTGGGCCGTAGCGGTATAAAGTGCAGTTTACTATCCTTACGGCAAATGGGAAGAAACCGCGCGGCGCCGCGTGTGGGGCTGGCAGTGCAGCGGCAGTGCAGCGGCACCGCACAGTGCAGCGACACGCCGACCGGCAATTTCCCTTCGTTAATTACCACCGCCCCGCTTTAACGACCACCGACGCGATGACCTCGCCGCTTTTAATTTACTCGCGCGGGTCACCGCGAGCGGGGCGGGGCGGGGCGGGGCACCCCATCTCGCGGGGGCACCGCCGCCGCTGTAGCGAACCACCGGAGCGGCAGGACGTGCCACTCTCCCGGGCGACCTGCGGCGGTGCGTCGACATTGCGTCCACGCGCTGGCACACTGTGTGAGGCCGCCGCCCACACCCTCATGCCCACAGTGGGCCACGTCAACAAGACCTCATCTGAGCGAAAGCGTTTTGACGCAGAGAACGTAGTAACACGGCATCGAATCAATTACCACTACGACTGCCAATGAGCTTAAATCGGGTTGACTAAAATTTTGCATATTTCTTCAATGGCAACCAAGAAACCAGACAATTCAACTAAAGCAAATTAGCTCTGGTCGTATGCCACAACATTCTTTTACACGTGGACGTGCACATGACGGCACCATGCGTAAAACAATCCATACAGAGCCGAAAACGTGCCAGGGGTTTGTGTTATCGTGAACCACACCCGTGCCCCGACCCACTGCGACTGTGCACCCGGCCGCCCACACGCGCGCGCCCGCACGCCCCGCGGCGAAGACGCGCCTGCCCCAGGCCGCGGCGCGCAGCGGGCCACAAACTTGTTTGCGCTTCCCCGCAAGTTTGTCAGAACGCGAAACCTTTGCCACTTTATCAACTTAATTACGAGCCGGGATTTGATTCGACGATAAGGCCGGCAATATCTCATCATCAGGCCGCGGGCCGCGCATCCCAGTCACTGTATCGGGCTGGGTGGCGGGGCGGCCGCGCCGAGAGAGGCAGAGCAGCAGCAGCACTTTGTCGCACACGCACTCAACTTCGTTTCCCCGGCGCTAATGTAAGCCTGCTTCCCACCAGAGCGTGCCTTCCCTGCCAGACAACAACCCGCAATCGCCAACCCGCCAGCGGCGGGGCAGGGAGGC